GCCAGGTATCGGGGAGGATGGGAGGAAGGAGGAGGCTGGGAACTCCAAGGAAAGGAAGCGGTGGGAAGGAGTTGCGGTGCAGGTACACCAATGCTAGGAGCATGGGTAACAAGCAGGAAGAGCTTGAAGCTCTCCTGGGAATAGGAGGGTATGACCTGGTGAGGATCACAGAAACGTGGTGGGATGAAAGGCAAGACTGGAATGTGAACATAGAGGGGTATCACCTTTTTAGAAAGGACAGGAAGGGAAAGAGGGGTGGGGGGGGTGGCTTTATATGTCAGAGAAGGGATAGGATGCAGTGAGATAGAATGCAGCGCAGATGGGGATTCGGCAGAGGCAGTCTGGGTGAAACTTAGGGGTTTTGACAGGGAAAAAGACCTGACAGTGAGGGTATGTTATTGCCCTCCAGGTCAACTTGAGATCCTGGATGATGGCCTGACAGACCAGATTCTAAGGATATCTCGGGGGAGAGACACAGTAATTATGGGAGATTTCAGTCTCCTGGATATTAGCTGGGAGACTCACTTGGCGGTGACAGCCAGGTCACGTCACTTCCTAGAAGCTGCAGAGGGACGGTTTTTCACACAGTGGGTCCAAGAAGCAATGGGGGGGGGGGGTAACATCCTTGACTTGTCCTGACCAATAGAGAGGAGCTGATAGATGAAGTACAGATTAGGGGAGCTCTGGATGCGAGTGATCACGCCATCCTTTGCTTTGAGATCAGGGGACTGGGGACGTGCAGCAGGTTGAGCACTAGAAGCTGGGACTTCAAGAGGGCCAACTTTGGCCAATAGAAGGCCAGACTGGGGAAAGTCTCCTGGGATAGGTTACTGGAAGGTAAGCGAGTTGAGGGGGGGGGTGGCACTCAAAAGGGAGGTTTTGGAGGCGCAAGCGTTGACGATACCTCTAGTCAGTAAGGTGGGGAGGCGGAGGAGAGCGCCGCCATGGATGCGAAAGGAGGTGGTTAGGGGGATTAGACAAAAGAGGAACCGCCGTAGGAAATAGGTATTGGGGCAAATAGACAAAAGGGTATACCGGGAGGAGGAGGCCCGTTGCAGGATTCTTCGCAAGGCTAAGGCTGATTACGAGCTGAGACTTGCCGAGAATATCAAGAGCAACAAAAAGGGCTTCTTTCAGCATGTACATAGGAAGACGAAGGGGAGACAAGTGGTGGGACCACTAAATAAGGAGGAAGAAGATCCAGTGACTGATATGAGGGAACAGGCACAGATGCTAAATGACTATTTTGCCTCTGTTCTCCCCAAAGCAGGACGGGGGAGATCCGCACAGGAGATTAGATGAGGCCGGGGACTTAGGGGCACAGATAAGAGTCACCCCCTTAGAAGTCAAGGGGCTCCTCAGGGCATTGGACATTACAAAGGCGCCAGGCCCTGACGGGTTGCACCCGAGGGTAGAGTTGGCAGGGGTTCTCCCACGCCCGCTTGCCTCCGTTTTTGAGGCCTCATGGGGAACCAGTGAATTTCAATAGGACTGGAGGGTGGCATCAGTGGTCCCAATTTTCAAAAAGGGTAGTAGAAAGGTCATGGGGAATTATAGACTGGTTAGCCTTACGTCCATTGTAGGAAAAACAATGGAAAGGCTCATAATAGAGATCTAGTGATGCTAGATAGGGAAGGGAGGCTGGCAGCCACACAACACAGCTCCCGCAAATTCCGTGAAGGACATTAGGAGGGTGAATACCCGGAGGAGGGCTTTCTCTGCGGTGGCGCCCAACCTATGGAATGCACTCCCCAGAGACGTCTGCCTGGCGCCGTCGTTATTTGCTTTTCGGCGCCAGGCCAAGACCTTTTTATTCAAACGTCATTTTAATTGTTGATTTTATTTATTGATTTTAAAAACTTTGGCCAGGATGTCTCCAACTGTATTTTATCATATTGATGAGATTTATTTATGGCTGTAAGCCACCCTGAGGCTTGTGCGAATGGGGCGGCATATAAGTCCGCTAAATAAATAAATAAACAGGTCCTGCTAGACAAACCTTGTGGAATTCTATGACAAGGTTTCGAGATGGCTAGATGGAGGGGATGCAGTGGATGTGGTATACCTGGATTTCAGCAAGGCCTTTGACAAAGTGAACCCTTGATATCCTGGTGGAGAAACTGAGGCGTTTTGGGATATACCAAAGCACTGTCTGGTGGATTAGGGCATGGCTGACTGACCAAAAGCGGAGGGTAACCATTAGTGGGGAATCATCGGGATGGCGGCCAGTGACAAGCGGGGTCCCCCGGGCTCTGTCCTGGGGCCGATCCTGTTGAATCTTTTCATCAATGACCTGGAAGAAGGGGTGAATGGTCTGCAGGTCAGATTCGCAGATGACACTAAAACTGGGGCAGTGGCCACAACTGAGGAGCAGGTACTCCGGATCCAAAAGGATCTGGACAGACTGTGGAAGTGGGCAGGAGACAACAGGAGGGCGTTCAATGTGGAAAAGTGCAAGGTCTTGCACTTGGGGCATAGGAATGGGTGTCATAAGAACAGGTTAGGGGACAAGTGGCTGGAGAGCAGCACTTGTGAAAGGGACCTCGGGGTGCTGGTTGACTGCAGGCTGAACATGAGTCAGCAGTGTGATGCGGTGGTCAAGACAGCGAATGCCACCCTTGGTTGCATAGCCAGAAGTGTGGTTTCTAGATCAAGAGAGGTATTACTACCACTCTACATGACTCTGGTGGGCCCGCAACTGGAGTATTGTGCTCAGTCTTGGGCCCCTCATTACAGAAAGGATCTGGCCAGGTTGGAGTCAGTGCAGCGCAGGGCCACAAGGTTGGTGGCTGGTTTGCAGGGGATGCTGTATGAGGCGAGACTGAGGGAACTGGGTCTCTTCAGCCTGGAGGAGACTCAGAGGGGATCTGTTGGCGACATACAGGTATGTGAGGGGGTGTCACACGGAGGTGGGTAGAGAGCTGTTCTCCCCTGCAGAGGAAGGCAGGACATGCTCCAACGGAGCAAAGCTCAGG